CCCCACAGCGCCCCCTTGTGGCTCTGAGTCGCGGCGCCGCTTGCTACCCACAGCGCCACCCAGCGGCCCGGAGGTGCAGCTCCGCGTGCGTGGGACCAGGTTAGGTCCTGCAACGCTGGTTGGAGCCCACCAGGCCACTGCTTTTAGGCCTCGTTCTCCCCATCTGTAACCGGTGTCATGCCACTAAAGAGTCCAGGAGGGGACTATCGGACCGCGGTAGCCCTGCCCTTCAGGCCACTGCCACCCGGGTCCTGCCTTTATGAAGCCTCTTTCTTTGCCCCGTCACCCCGGCTCTCCAACGACGGCAGCCCCAGTTCTTGGTCCCTGACTCCCACTGTGATCATAGCCTTCTCTGGGCCTTCCCTAGGCAACAAGAGGGCAGCTAAGGGTCCTGCTGGGGCTGGGCTGGTTCGAAATCATGCCACTGGAGCCCAGGGGGTGCTGGCCTACCCCTGAGAGGGGTCCCTCAAGAGGGAGAAGGAATCGGATTTGGAACATGGAGCTTGGGGGATGATGGTCCCCGTTTATGCCTCTCCATTCACAGGAGGGCCAAGAGCCTTCTCACTCTCCGCTGGTTGCATGCAGGGGTAGCAGAAAACCTTCTAGAAGACTGAGAAACCCGACATTTATTAGATTCATTCTCTCCACCCCCTTTCTCTTCCATTTCCCTCCTAACCTCCCCCTCCCTCCTCCTTCCTCAGCCTCCAAGGCTAGGCTAGCTGCAGCTGGCAGCTTTTGAGTGGACTCAGGGTACGGTTTGTGGTGCGGTTGAAGGTGTCCACCTCGGGCACAAACTTCTCGGCTGGCACCGTCAGCTTCCGGCGAGTGTCCATGCACTTGGTGTCCAACAGCATGGAGTTGGCCTTGCAGGCGATGTCAGCCTGCAGCCGGGCCAGGTGCTTGTACAGGGCATCCAGAGCATCCCTGGGGAGGAGGCATTAACAACCCACCACCCCTGCACGAGGCAGAAGGTGAAGGAAGCCAGCGGGGAAGCCAGAAGGCAGCAAGAGGCCCCATGGGTGAGAGGTGTCTCCCTGCCCCTCCGGTCCACTCCCCAAACCTACTGTGCTTGTGCCAACTTCTGCCTCAGGGCAGCAATGGTTGCCTCTAACTGGTGAACCTCGTCGGTGAGGCCATACTGTGCCTGGAAGCAGAGGTGAGGGTTGGGAGTCAGCCATGCTAGCCTTTAGCCCACGGGCCTGGGCACCCCTGCTCCACCAGGAATATGTGCTGGGGAGTGAGTGATCCTGAGGAGACTTTAGCGGGAGGGGAGGGGGCAGTGCCCCACTGGGGTACCCTCCCACCTGGTCCCGGCAGAGTTCCACATTGGGCCGGTAGGTTCTGGACTCGAGCCGAGTATGGCATAGCTTCAGGTTCAGGATCTTCCTGTGCAGATCTTCCTCCAGGTGCCGGATGTCCTCCTGCAGGTCAGCGATCTCCTGCAAGGTCTACAGGGGACAGAGTGAGTGGTCTCCAGTGGCTGAACCCACCACGGTACACCCAGGGCTTGCTGGACCGACATTGGACTCCTCCTCCCACAGCAGGAAGTCCAAGCCCAGGAGACTAATGAGAAGGCTCACATTCTTCTCTTGCCACTTGAGCTCACTGTATATTTTCTCCATCTCCCGCAGCCGCTTTCTGAAGGCAAATTCCGTTGCCACCCTCTGGGCTTCCAGTTCATTGTTGGTCTGAAGGACAAGATGTGGGCCGGGCAAGACAGGGTATAAGTTCATGACCATCTTAAGGATGTTCCTCAAGTGAAGGGTTGGGATGCCAATGGCCAACAGGGAACAAAAGCTAAAGGCTTGCCCCAGCCGGTTTGGCTCAGTGGATAGAGCATCGGCCTGCGGACTAACGGGTCCCAAGTTCAATTCCGGTCAAGGGCACATGCCCGGGTTGTGGGCTCGATCCCCAGTAGGGGGCGTGCAGGAGGCAGCCAATCAATGATTCTCTCTCATCATTAATATTTCTATCTCTCTCTCCCTCTCCCTTCCTCTCTGAAATTAATAATAATATATATATATTTTAAAGCTAAAGGCTTGAGTGCCTACTTGGGCCATCCATTAGCCATGGAAGAGCAGGGTCAGGGGAGTGGTCAGTTACCTCAGCAATAGTGAGGGCGATGGCCTCCCTCAGGTCTGTGGCTTCTTTCATCTCAGCCTCCGCCCGGTTCTTGTTGAACCGACTAAATTCATCCCACTCTTGAAGTGATGAGGAGCTGCAGGTGGCAGGAGATACGGGGGTCATAAGAGTATGGCCACTGTGGGGTGAGGGGAGGAGAGACTGAAACACTTCTTACCCATCGGGGACACGCGCGGGATTAATCTTCAGAGAGATGTTTGGGGACTTGAGGTTGAGAGAGAGGCAACCTCTGTCAATGTCCAATGTCTCCATTTTGCCCCGATGGTCAGAGTTGAGCTGCTGTCGGATTTCCTGCAGGAGGCTGGGGCAGGAACAGACTAGCTCAAGCTCCATCCCTCCACGGCCCCAAGGACTTAGCCCCCATTGTGCTCCAGGGCCCCCGAGGGATGGGGAGGCTGGAGTGACAATGGAGCTGCTGCCGCTGCAGCTGAGACAAAGGCCAGCATAGTTGGATAAGCTCCTCACAGACAAAATTATGACCCTCACGTGCTCACACACAACCACAAGGGCACACGTATTAGTTACAGTCACAAAGGCTCACACATACACACAATAGGGTACTCAGTCAGGGGTGGTGGCAAACGGGCTTCATCTCCCATGCTTCCCATCAATCGACAATGGCTCCCCAGAGCAGTCTTCTGAGACCGTGTCGAGGCAGAGGAAAAAGTGGTATCATCGGTTAGTGGTGTTTGCCATGGGCACAGCAGGGACCGAAGGCAGCCGGAGAGCCAGCTGCCGGTCATCCACAGTACAAATATTCTACTCAGGACACACAGCCTTCAAGTGCAGGTGAGCTTGAGAATGATGCCTCTCCCTTACCAGAGCTTCTCAAACGTCTGGCTGATCTTCTGTTGCAAGGCCTTCTTGGTGGCATCAATGACCTCCACCTCCTTGTGCAGCTCTTCCTCCACAGGGTCCCTCACCACATCAACGTCCCGCCGACTGTCCCGCAGGGTCAGGCACTGGATTGCCACATCCAGGGGCAGGTTCTTGGCCTGCAGGTTTTTCTCTGCTGACTCTTTCATCTGGAACAGAGAAGGCACAGGAGGCTGCTGGGCCACTCCCCGAGAAGCAGCGCTCACTCCCACGTTAATAGAGGGGCCAGTGAGTGACTCAGGTGGACAGGTCACTAAATACCCCATGAAGGGTTCCCTGACCTCCAAGTGGGGAGGGAGGGGAGGTCCTTGCGGCAGGGTCTCCTGGCACCCTGCCCTAGCTCCCTGCCTGTGTCAGGGCGTCGATCTCTGCATCTAAATCCGTCAGACACTTGTCCAGCATCTCCTTCCATCGGTTGACTGTATCAACTCTCTCTTCCAGTCGAGTCCTATTGTCGTGTTCATCCCAAATGGTCTGGAAGAGACAGAGCCAGATAAAGAGGGTGTTTGGGGACAGGGGCTATCCCTTTGCCCACCTGAGCTCCCGCTCTCAACCTGGTTGTTGGTCTCATTGCGGAGGATCCGGGCCTCCTGGCGGATCTGGTGTGACGCATCTCGCTGCCGCTCAGCGTTGGTGGACAACAGGTAGCTGTTGGTATGCCAGTCCTGCAACTGGAAGCGTTGGCTGGGCTTGACGCTCAGCATGGCCATGGTGCTGAGCCCCTAGGCCTGTTCCAAGACACCCACCTCGGCTGGAGAGGACAAGCAAGGCTGCGGGAGACGGTTCAGTCAGTCCTCTCCTAGATCAAAAGCTCCCTCCAGAGTCTGTACTTGTTCTTCAATAAATTTCCACCTTTGCTATAACATAAAAAAACAACCCCCAAAGGACCTGCTCCTGTCCATTTTGCTCCCAATCCCTTGCTGCAGGAAGCCTGCTTGGGAACAGCTCTCGATTTGCTCAACTTTGAAGCATTAACTAAGTTTCCTCCCACCCATCCATCCACAGACACACACTCCTGGACCCTGCAGGTCCTGGAGGGTGTGTGTGCTGCCAAGTGCTTAGTGGGGCTGGTGGGTGGGTGGGGTTTAGCAGGAATAATAGTCCTTAATCCAGTTTCCATCCCTACTCCCAGCAATCAAGTCCTGTGGCGCTTTCTTTTCTTTCTCCGCCACAGCTGTGCTCAGGACCTGCACGGGTTCTAAGAAAACGAGCCCTGTTCTCCATCCAGAGAGGGCGGGCTAGTTTTGCAAGGGATGTGGGCTGGCACAGGGGAGTTGTTTTTTTTTTTTGGAGGGGGTATGCGCTGGTCCCCTCCCCACCTGGTCATCATATTCCCTCCCTCAGCCCCTGTTGGAGGAGGAGCAGCCGGGCTCTGTCTAGTTCCCAGGCGCACCCCACCACTCCCTTCCCCAGGATAATCCTTTTTGGTTTAAATTAATACCCCGGCGGCGGCGCAGAGAAAGAAGGAGGAGGGAGGAAGGGAGGGAGCTTGAGCCTGGGTGTGAGTCCTCACAGCGCCCCAGCTCCCCTAGCCTCTCACCTCCTTCCCAGCTCAGACTTCCGCCAGCTCCTCTGTTGCGCCCCCCGGTTGCTAGGCACCCGCCTGTCAGCGCGCTGGTAACCGCCACCCTCATGTTTACCTTGGCAACCGCGGGGCTGGAGCGACGGGGCCCAAGGCGGCTGGCGGGCTGCGGCTGCAGGAGCGGGCGCGAGGAGAGGGCAGCAGGATATGGCGTTCATTTCCTTTACAAGTTAAACGTTTTAATTTTGGTCAAAGTTATGCATCGACATGATAAGACATACGTACATCTCCCGCTCAGGCGCATTCCCCAGTAGCCATCCTTCCAGAAATGTAAATATATTTGACGTTATTTACACGCATTCCTTTGGTCCTGTCTTGTCCAACAATTTCATTCATCTGCCTGACGGCATGCAGTGGTTCTCAACCTGTGGGTCGCGACCCCTGAAAAATACATCCTGCATATCAGATATTTACATTACAATTCATAACAGTAGCAAAATTACAGTTATGAAGTAGCAACGAAAATAATTTTATGGTTGGGGGTCACCACAACATGAGGAACTGTATTAAAGGGTCGCGGCATTAGGAAGGTTGAGAACCACTGGTAGAGGGAGTGGTAATCGTATTTGGAGAGGGCACACGCCTGGAATATTAGAAGCAATGTTCAAAATCCGACCATTTAAAAAAGAGAAGGAAAATAATTCAACCGTGCCAGTATTGTTCTAGGCCTTGGGAAATGTTAACGTTTAATGTTCATAACTATTACATGAGGTAAACGCTATCTCCATTTCCACCGGTGTCTGAAAAGACTGGCCCTGCTAAAAGGCAGGGATGTCAGCGCCGGTGAGTCTGGTCCCCAGGTCCACGTCCTCTGCGTTACGACTCCACACTGCCTCTAGTGGTGGCGTGGGAAATCGAGAGGAAAGCAGGGATGAGATTTCCATCCTCGGTCCTCCTCTGTGCAGAACAGCCTTAGGAATGGCGTGCTGTTACCTTGTCCGTCTTACAGGCAGGAAAATTGAGGCATAGAGAAGTGAGGAGCGTTCCCAAGGTCACATAGCTAAGTGGAGAGTCTGTCTCAGAGGCCAAGTTCAGGTTTAATGGATGAGGGAAAGAGAGGAGTCCAAGAAGAGTCCTCAGTTTTAAGACCTCAGTGATTGGTGGGATTGTGTTAGCCTTCCGCAAAAGGAGGAGGGCTTGGTCGCCAAGGGGAGGAGAAAGCTGGCTTTTGGGACGTTTGAGATGCTTGTGGTAAATCCAGGTGCTGTCCAGAAATGCGAGTCTGCAGAAAGACTGAGGCTAGAACATTTTCCAAACCTCTTTGACCACAGAATATTTTCTCCCCCATAGGATATTTCCTAAATTCTAATATATGGCTCATAAACCAGACATACATGGGAATTTGTGATATAGCTCTTTTACTAGGATTAAAGACAAGAAAAACAACAACCTACCATCTTGGAGATTATTTGCTGGAAGAAATGATCATATTTTGGCTTATATGGTTTGAAACGTAACAGAAAGAAGGAAACAACTATGGCAGAATGGTGATGGCTTTGGTGTATGTCTCTGACTGTGGTGATGCCCTTGGTGTTCATGACTCACGAGGTTCCACACATCCTGGCCAAGGGAAGAAGATATTAGCAGAAAAGGTCAGGCGGCTGATGAATTGGAGCAAGAGAAACAGAGTGATAAAAATGAGTAAAGCTGTGTTCTATTATTTTGCAAGAAACTATTATTGTAATGTTTGCTGCTGTCCAGAAGGTTAGATCATGTATAATATGCAAACACGGTGCTGAAGGAGTTTAGATCTTGGCATATACCTGGCCGCACTCCAGTGCATTCACTAGGAAGGTATATTTTGCTATGGTGGATTAGGATGAAAACCCCGAGGCCCTTCAAACGCTCCAGTTGATATCAGTTTCAAGTTTCCACTATTTTTCTGCTAAAAGGAAATTTAGATAAGATGACATCTACCATTTGGAAGAAAGTGGTCTCATAGCTGGGCAAATGGCCAAATTGGTAGCTGAGAACAGAGGGAAGGAAGGTCAACATCAGAATTAGACAACCTACAAACTACCCCAATCCCTTCCAGTTGGGGATTTTTTGGTTCTTATTGGTGGACATGTGTATTTATTGAACTGGAATGGGAAATTTATTTTTAACAATTTGTGGGCAGTTTTAGCTCAGTGTTTTGTGATCATGATGACATCTGGTCAAATGTGGACTCATAAAAGGAACCTCATAGCCCAGCCATTGTGGCTCAGTGGTTGAGCATCAATCCAGGAACCAAGAGATCATGGTTTGATTCCTAGTCAGGCCACATGCCTAGGCTGAGGGCTCAATTCCTAGGGGGTGTGCAGGAGGCAGCCAATCAATGATTCTCTCTCATCTTTGATGTTTCTATCTCTCTCCCTCTCCCTTCTTCTCTGAAAAAAAAACCAACAACATGTATATTAAAAAAAGATATATATATATATATATATAAAATCTTCAAGGAGTGAGTTACTGTCAGTTTGTAGCAGAAATATACATCATCTCTCTGTTTAATATATGCAGTACCCTGGGAGTGGTGCTCTTAGATAAAGCAGTCATATCTCATATGAATATTAGGAAGAAGTTGCAATATCCTTCAGTTGGCTGTTCCCCCTCTTCATATTTGAAGTACCTGAGTATTCATCCAGCATCCTCATGGATTAAAAAGGATCCTAGAGATATAAACAAAGAAGCAGGAAAAAATTTAAAATGGAAAAAAAAGTGAAACAAAAATGTGAACTTAAAATTTTTAAAGTGATTTAGATTTAGCCAAAGAAGACATGAAATGCCTTTGTTGAAAGTCATGTTCTCTCAAAGTCTGTGCAGTCTGATGGTATGTATCTTCTCTGTTCTTCTCAATTTTCTCCAGGTAAATGTCATATATTACCTAATATAGTGAATTCCACTGATTAAAATAATCAGAATACAACTTTTATCAAATTAGAACAATGTTTAAAAGTACTTTAGCCCTGGCTGGCGTGCTCAGTTGGTTGGGTGTTGTTCTGTGTACCAAAAAGTTCGATTCCCAGTCAGGGTACATGCCTGGGTTTTTGGCTCGATCCCTGGTAGTGAGCATGCAGAAGGCAGCCAATTGATGTTATGCTCTCACATTGATGTTCTTTCCTCTTTCTCTCTCCCCCCCTCTCCCTTCCTGTATCTCTAAAAATCAATAAACTAGCCCTACCTGGTTTGGCTCGGTGGATAGAGTATTGGCCGGAGGACTGAAAGGTCCCAGGTTCGATTCTGGTCCAGGGCACATGCCAGGGTTTTGGGTTTGGTCCCCAGTAGGGAGCATGCAGGAGGCAGCCAATCAATGATTCTCTCTCATCATTGATGTTTCTATCTTTCTCTCTCTCTCCCTTCCTCTCTGAAATCAATAAAAACATATTAAAACTTTTTTTTTAAAAGAAATCATTAAAGACTGAAAGGTCCCAGGTTCGATTCTGGTCCAGGGCACATGCCAGGGTTTTGGGTTTGGTCCCCAGTAGGGAGCATGCAGGAGGCAGCCAATCAATGATTCTCTCTCATCATTGATGTTTCTATCTTTCTCTCTCTCTCCCTTCCTCTCTGAAATCAATAAAAACATATTAAAACTTTTTTAAAAAAAGAAATCATTAAAAAATAAATACAAATCAATAAAGTATTTTAAAATGCACGTTGCTTAAAACTTGGTCAGCTGATTTTATTCTAATATGAAAAATAGTATCTTGTTAAGGTACTTACTGAAGAGAACCTTTCCTGGAGATGTATATCTGCACAGCCTATTTTGTGTGTTTTCCTCTGAAGTTTAAGTATCTTTCTTTAGGTTGCACTTCCAATGCCTAGAGGCAAATACAGTACTTAGTACTCCATCTCCCAATTCTTTCCTACTGAAATGTGCTACTATGCTTCTTGATCATTACAGATATTATAAACTAACTGACTACTGGATTATGATTTCTACATGATTGTTAACTACCTTCTATCTGGATTCATTTCAGATAAGTTATCTTTTTTTCTTTCAAGTGACCAATCTCTAACAAATAGTTCCTATTTTGATGTTGCATTGAGGTCATTTTCTATTTTATTTATTTACTTTTATTTATTATTATTTTATTAAATATATTGGGGTGACATTGGTCAACACAATTTTCTATTTAATTTAAAGCTAAGAGAAAAATAGATATAAAGACAATTCAGAGGATGAATAATCATTTTATTCACCCTTTTCTGTTTAGAAGCATGTTAAAATATCATTATTTCCAATATGCAGAAATGCAACACTGATCATCTTAAAAGCTGT